TTGGGAAGTATTTTTGAAGTTCGATGAGTGAACTCTGACAAAATGTAAGTTGGATGAGTAATGAAACAATGTTTTCGCTGAGTTGTCATTTTTTAACTGCCGTCATCTTCCACGTGTATTTTTCGTCCGCCACGTGAGTTTCGATGGTAACGAAATTTGGTGAGTGTTGGATGTGTTGCAACGGCAGAAAGTTCAGTGATCATTAAAAGGCAATTTGAAGTTCAGTGAGTAAGTCGTGAACATGTTAAAGTTCAGTGACCATTCAAACATTTTACTCGTTTCTTTTCCCTCTTTAGTCTTTCCGTTTCTTCCTGTTTTTGTGGGTGTATGGTGGTGGGTGTTACTAATTCTCCTCGATGCCAACAAGAAGAATGAACAATATGTTAATGCTACATAATCTCATTTTTCTTGGATGAAAATCTGTGGTTTGTAAACAACTGTAGTACTTTTGAAGTGAAAAGGTTGCTTGCTCTATTACATGTAGATAATTTCGATCTTTCACTGAATTTATTACCAAGTAACGCATGGTATTCCTTTTCCTGTCTGGACTAATGTAGGTCATATCGGGAATTGAAACAGCACTAAGATCGATGAAAGTAGGTGGTATTCGTCGAGTCATTATCCCACCATCTGAAGGGTACCAAAACATGTCTCAAGAACCCATTCCACCTAATGTATGTATCTTAACTCTTGTATTAGTTATTTTATAGCTAGTTTTGAGGATTTGGTTGAACAAAAACTCAAAAAAAAGTGCTGTTGTCTGTCATAGATGTACCTGTGCCTGTTTAGTTATCCACTAGAAGTCGTAAGGCTTGGTGTAAGCATGCATTGACAAAGCTGACTATAATTCTCCTACAACAGCAATGCTAATCATAGATCATATACTACTTGGGGAAAACAAATTTACAAGGAGTCTAATCCATATGGGGTTGGTTGAATCTCTTTCTGCAAAGATTCTATTTAATCCAAAAAAGAGATTTCATTGGTATACGAAAAGTAAGTACAGCGATACTGAGACATTCCCTCCTGTGCGAGATCAAAAAACAACTCAATCAGCCAGCTAAAAGCAGCATAAGGAAACTGCTGCTGCATGGCAATGAGAATCTATGGCGGACTCAAATAAAAGCAAGAATTTCAACAAAAACCAAGAGGTGGAGATGATAATATAAATAATCTATATCAATGATTTATTAGTGGGAAGAGAGCATGTTGCAGTACTCAATTCACCGTTTACCGAGACATTTATTTGATCAAAAGTCGTTTAGCTTTGTCCTAAGTGATCACTTTTATCTCACTCTTTGCTTCAGTTAGTCTATGTAGGATGATCTATAGCAAGGAAATTAACGTTGAACAGATTTTCTCTCTACCAAAAATAATTTGTGTAAATTAGAGTTAAGAAGGAGAAGTGTGTTAGAAACTAGAATGACCAAAATATCCTGATGGTGCCTTTTTTAATACTTTATATGGTTGATATCTTAATTAATTTCTTGGTTTCAGTTTTTCGATAGACAGAGACTCTTTACTACCATTTTCAATCCGACCCGTCTAGCCAACGGAGAAGGCTCAACACTAGGGACACTCATATTCGATATTGAGCTGGTTAGTATGAGGCATCAATGATCTTCCGAAATTCTGCATTGTAAGCCGTATATGTATAGTTATTACACTTGACCAGTGATGACTTTATGTATAGTTCATTCTTGTGATTTGAGATCTTGAAAATTGTCACATCCAATGTACGTAATGATAGCAGGTGCTAGTTTAATGACCCCGACTATTTTAAAGTTTTTGTCCAATATGAGAGGACTTCATTTCAGTATGTACTATGTAATAGGTGGTTTGCCTTCCGATATACATAAGTAAACAAACTATTTACTGTAGTTTTGTTGGAATGACCACGAGATTAGCCCTAAACCACTATTTATAGATTTGTTTCCTTCCGTTCTCATAAATATTGTCATTCGAATCCATCTGTAGTAGACACTGGACAGAGTGTTGAGAGTCATTGGTCTTTGCTTGTGGTGTTGTGTTTGTGTGTGGTTATGTTGTTCGTGCACTTATTTGATCAATGCTAAAAAATGCCCATCGTATTGGATCATTGAAAGAATAATTATATTTCGACTGTGCTAAGTTGATATCTTGGCTGATAGTACCTAATCTC